GCAAAGCAGAAACTTGCATTTCTTGCATCACTAAAGGCTTCAGGTTAGCGCAAATGTATCTTCCAGCATTTTAAGCCGGTTCCAAAAACATCAAAAAACACAGGATTCTAGAGCGAAAATGCCCCACCCCCCCTATAGCTAAAGCTATTAGTACTTGCGGTACTTGCGGTATAACGCGTGCCCTAAAAAGAACGCCTCGGCACCTTCGGTGCGGGCGGATTATTGCATTCCCTTTTCCCTTTCTTTTCAATATATCCAGGAACCAAACCATGGCACATGATGTGCGGCCTCAGTCCACCGAAAAACCAAAAGCATCGGTGAGATCACTCATGTTGGAAACCACTTGGCTGTAGCGTTCTTAATTAGAACCAGTCTCAATTGCAACCCACGCAGCCAACCAATAGTCAATCACCAAGCAATGAAATGAATACCAAGACGGGATTCCTTCAGCACATGGTGTAGCAAAGGCTTGAAGGCCTCCTTCAGCAGCTGCACCGCAGATGAAAGGGTGTTAGACCGCAAAACACCTGATGGCCCGATGGCAGCTCCTTATACAAAGCGGGTGCAGCTACCAAGATTTCGGCCGGCAACACACTCTCTTGTGCGAGATGGCAATGTCGAGCACAGACCACTAAATCGTTAAGAAAGTTTGCGTCATGGGCGGCAGTGAGCAGCTCAAAGACAGCAGCAAGTGCACAAATCATCGACTTCAATTCTGCTGGACGGGATTCTGCTGTGCCAGCTTCACAGCAAGCACATTGATGCGGTTCAACAAGTTTGTCACCAGCTTCTTGCCCAAGGTTGACTGTTGTCATTGCAGCGATGTGCAGATTGATTTGCCGTCATCAACAACGTGCTTGAAGGAATGTTCATGCAGACGAGAAGCAACCTTGCGAAGAGAGCATAAGGCCCAATCAACCCGCTGCACAAGCACCAATGCTTTATCGCAGAGGTTCTGATTGGGCCATTGTAGTGGCGCAGTATCACACCGTATAGAATATACAGTAGAAGGTGCACAGAGTCCTGGATCATATGAAAGCTGTCATATGAAAGCTGTCAGTCCACACTTGAAGCGTGGAAGGTCTGGTGAGATTCCAGCACAAAGGAACCAAAACAGTGGCAAGCTCTGCTCGGTTTTTCGCTTGAGTCACTCCACGCAAGAAGCTGCACGCCAGAATGCGTCGATGGTCTGGAAGCACCAGGCTCCAAGCAACATGCCGGCTAACCGCACATCAGTAAAGAGACTGTACGTGTCTAAGGTTGCAGCCTCAAAGTGGAAACAGCTGAGAGAGCTCCACCAAGCAATCATGTGCGGATTAGGTGGCACATGGAGGTTAAATTAAGGGCCTATGTGTCTCCAGCACTGAACGCATACTTGGGACACAGCAGCAATGATGCTCAAGGCCATCCTCGACATTGCAGATGAAGCAAAAGCTAGAGCGAAATTTGCCCATGGTGTCCAGTGAAGAAGGTTCCACCTTCAATAGTGTACAAGAGCTTTTGATCAGGCGATCCACCGACTGGATCTCTAAACTGGAGAATCAAGGCTCCCGATGACTAAAGTCAGATCACCATTTCAATCCCAGCAAGGAGGGCAAGAGCAGCATGGAGCAAGTATAAAGATCTTGTCGTGCAGGAAGGCGATCCAAGAGCAAAACAGCCCACCATCCATCACAGAGTGCAGGATATGTCCGGAACATGTAGCCTGCCGTGCAGGATATTCCAAATTTGACAATCCAGGTTGATAAGATTGGATGAGAGCTCAACAAACCCAAGGCGTAGCTCACCCGAAGCTTATGAATGAGCGCCACTGCAAAACATGTTCTCGCACGCTTGTAAACCCTTAGGCCAGGGCCAGAATGCAGTATGATCTGCAAGGAGGTTGAACCAGTTGGCGGCTTTAGACAAGAGCGGGTCTGCCAAACATGGTGGGGCTATCTCTGTGAACCTTTGCCCCTGGACTTTTTTCTATTTGAAGGTGCTGTAAAAACACCTTTTCGCACTTTGTCTCGTTGGACAAGTTGTGCAAGTTGCGAGATGTGCAAGGGACAAATGATTTCACAGTAGAACAGGAGCGATATGGTCAAACATGGACAGTCGGTCACCATCTCTACGGCTCCGCTCAACGCTCAGCAACTTCTGCGGGCATATTTTGACGACTAAAAAGATGCATTGGATTTGTTTTTTTGCTTGCTCGGAATCTATTTTACAGAAGTTTCGAGATTCATGTTCCAAATGCATTTTGCCTTGCTTTGATGGCTGAGGACTTGCCCAATCCGCTGAAGAAGGGCAAATGAACATGACTGAGGGATTTTGGCCGACGAGTAGCGAATGCCTCCACCAACCAATCCAAAGCAATGGAAGAATTGGTGTGTGTTTTTAGAGACATCAGACACAGGAAATGCAACGCGATGCAATGAACACAAGGGGAACGTCTCACGGCATGACCGTCATGACCCATATAGTGTAGACAAGAGAGCACTCAGTTTATGGCAAGCAACATCAGAGGCAGGTGTTGATAAGTTTGTAAAAAGGCGCACGCAAAGCACAAAAACCGCAAGGCAATCAGACTGTTCTGGTCGCTAAAACCCTGAAGTGTGCTCCAGGACCTTTTTCTGAGTTTCCAAATCTTCAGGTGGAGCTGCTTCGTCGACCAGGCTCCATTCTGGTCTGCTCCGGCTTGGACAAGTGCAAACGGAAGGGCTTGCGAAGGTGCGCAAATAGAACTCCTTGTGCTTTCATGAAGGGTTTGAATTTGCCTTATCAGGATTTACCATTCAGCCTGATTGAATAAAGCTCTTGATAGCTTTTATATACAATTCCTCCATTTCAAGGCTGGATCGCGAGATTCTGGGCATGTCTTATCGGCCAGCGCTGCACAAGCTTGCTCGCCTGAAGTACCTCAAGGTAGGGTGCTGCGCAATCTGTTTCCGGCGCTCTGCTTGCTTATGAAGCATGAAGCTTTGCTGACAAAACAGAAGCAAAGGAAAGAGCTACAAAAGCTTTGCAACTATAAGACTTTCTTTCAAGCTGGGAACAAGAAGTGCCTTCACAAATTTTGTGCCAGATTCGCAATTCCTTCAAGAAGCCAAAGAAGCCCAAAGCTTTTGCTGAAAGACGCTGAAAGGCAACAGCTTTTGCTGATGGACTTAAGATGTATAACTTAAACAGATGTTTCAAAAAGAAACACAGAGGTGGGACATACTGAAAGGAGCTTCGACTGGAGACAGCATAAGAAAAAGATTGCTTTCTTTTAGTTCTGCAATTTTGTAAACTGCTTCCACGTTTACAGCATTTACCGTTGTGTTTACTCTGTCTTAAACACTTTGTAGAGAATTCGCAAACACATTCCTGTCTTTGGGCTTGATCGTACACTTTGCACATTTGCCATATTGGTTCGACGTAAGGCGCTTCTGATTGATAGACTGACACAGACTGACAGACATTTGTATTCCTTCGGCCAGAACTCACAGACAAAAGGCGCAACCAATCGACTTCCATGTGGAGGATATTGTGGCCCACCAGAACTCAATGATTGAACGAACAAATTAAAGTCAATCAGTCCAAACATTGCATTTGGCTGATGGAGGAATCACGCTTTCAAGCTTTCTGAGATGACAATGCTTGTTTGACGCTTCAGAGTTGTAGGTCCATTGGTCCATGCCGCATTGAGCTGTGATTTGTCATTCTTTGTCCCGTCACGCAGCTCGAATCCAGCTTGGAGGACCCCAGCGCAGCCAAACGAGGCAAAAGAGCACAGGAGCTTTTGAGGCATCATCTTGTTCCTAGTAGCATATTGTTTCTAATAGCTTCTTGTTACTACTAGTAAGGCATTTGTTACTAGAAACGATGCACTTGTTCCCAGTAAGGAATAGCTAGAATTATGGACTTGTTGCGAACGCCATTTCCGCAGGGATGCAGAACGCGTGTACGACCCAAAACAAGAGCGGTGTGAAGCTGAGAGTCTGTAATTGTTATATATTAGATTGGACGGACTTATGTGGGAGTCATGGTTTATGCTTGCTCGGCCAAGGCAGTGGGAGAAGAAATACAAATTCTTCAGTGAGATAAAGATGAAGGCTGCTGTACTTTGAAGTCTGGTCTACTCTTTTCTGCATCCTTTCACATGTATTGGGTAGGCTGCCTATCGAACATTCGCTCGAGACCTGAGCTCAGAGCTTGCTTGGGCTTGAGACTGCCATGTTGCCAGACAGCCACAGCGGTCAGTCAAACAGTTCGTGCCAAAAGGATGATTCAGTTTGGTCGCCTTCTGGCACCGAAATCAGATGTCTAATTTTGGACTGCTAGAATAACTTCCTTTATTTGCCAGGCACTCCAAAAAAATATTGTAAGGTGAGTGATAGGGCCAATAGGGATTTGAACAGTACACACTTGAGAATACCGTGAGAATAATCTGACAGGCATGTTGCTTAATATGTGGGGATGTTCCCGTTGATGTACTTTTGCAGGTTTTTGCAGTGTACATGAGAAAGGGGCCGCAATATGTGACCAGGCACGATTGATTCTGGGCGCTCCTGTCCTTGAAAGTGGTTGTTCAAGACACTTTCGAGAATCGAACAGATCCGTCGAAACTCTGGCAGGGGTACGGGAGCACAGGTCATCACTGGGAAACACAATTTTTTTAAAGTGCCGGGCCATCTCTTTTTGCGTCTTGCTTCCTTTAGCTTTAACTTTGAATCCTCCTCCTTCCTCCCTCTCTTTGCCTTGCCGAAGTTGCAAGTTCCGATGTCATATGACTGGAACGCCCTGTCAAGACCGTCTTTTTGCTGTTTTCTTTCTTACACCTTTTGCGCTAGCCACACCGCGAGCAGTCGGCTAGCATGGCCAGTGATGTGTTGGCTTTTTTTTGCCGTTGGCTCTTTGCATGACATGCAAAGCTTCAAACAAAGATCGCATATCAAGGCATTTGAACCGAGGAAGGGATCTTCGACAGAACGGTGAGCAAATGTGAGCTTATGCAATCACTTGTTTCTCCTTCAAAACGCTCTAAGTTTTATATACAGTAAGCCCTGCTTCTTATTTGCAGAACTAATTGCTGTCATTGTCAAAAGGATCTCGACCATGAACATGATACGTACCCTCAAAGAGGTTTTGAGTTGACTGCTTGGCAGGTGGACTGGCGAACATGTTTTGACACACTAGCTTTGCTATGCTTGGCTTTTACTACATTGTATCCCGGTCTATTGAGGGTTGTTTTGGGTTGGCCGAGGCCAGGCATGATCCCTTCAACAAAGATCCGTGAAGCTGACCATTTGCGACATGCGTCTTCATGTTTTGTCATGTTTGGTCTCATTCTTGAACTTTGATTTGTTGTTTAGTACCCGGGGCAGAGCTGCCAGGGCGTGGGGCAAGTCAGTGCTGTCCCAGTTTGCGAACTATTGCACAACGAACGGGGTCAAATTTGAGGACGGCCTCATCGCTTTTGAACCAGGATCTACATATATTTCCCCAAACAGTTTACTGTTAGGGGTTCTCAATTCTTTCTTAAGATGTGTCCGCCCTTTGTGCCACTGCTGGTGTCCGCCCTTTTCCGCTGGCCATGTAGCATTTCTATTCATTTGTCTCCCAGGCCTGTCACTGCTGGCCATGTAGCATTTCTATTCATTTGTCTCCCAGGTCTGTCACT